CGCCCGGGGGGAGGTGGGGGGTTGTGTTTGTGGGGGGGGGGGGTATTTATTAATCTGTCGCCTTCTGCCACAGTGTTTCCATAATGAGCGCAAGATGCGACATTATGCGCGAAAATGTAATGAGCAGAGGTTATGATAGGATCAGAGATGTATCAGTCTCCAGAGCAGATGTTACTCAACCGCCCTTCTCCGCTCCGCACTGATTATATTAAGCAGATGAGATGTGCACATGTGTGTGTGCGCTGGTGAGAATATGTGTGTGACAGACAGAAAGCCGGATTCTTAGAGAGCAGCACAGATGGGGAATTCTAACAAGACTTATGGTATGCCTGGGAGAGAAGTCGCATATAAACCTTTTAACCATGGTGTCACACCAACTTTAGGGTGGCTCAAGCAAACAATAACAAACAAGCCCTTTGTCGTTTGAACAAGAGCCTCTACGGCTGTAGTTTGAATGCGTGTTGTGTCAGTCGAAAAGATGATGCTATGTTTGATACATTGCTTCCATTCCAAGATAGGTGGAACACCGGCTGCAATTTACATATCAACAGGTAAAAACTTGTTTGAAAATAGGCATGGTAAACAATTGAACGTAGTTAACCGGATAATTTCGGATTCACAGCCCAGATGTGCTCTTTTGACGCTGGAACCAATACCGTGCTTTCGAGCTGGTATGAACGAGCAACCAATCCATATCACGGCTTTTGATGAAATTCAGTACACCTGCACTGCATGTCTACACAGAGACAAGACAGCTGACAGTATACTAGGAACAAAACCATAACCCCCAGCATGACAGCATAAAGTACATCATGATATACGTTTGTCCCTAGCGTGTCATAGCAGCAGTACAGCTTCTCAGCATCACAAATGTAAACAATCATACACAATACAAATATTATATTACAAATGCGACACAGTGTTTAGTTGTTCACGGCTGACCAATGCCCTCCACTAATTTCAATGAGAGTCACGATCAAATTACGCCACTGGCATATGAACAATTCATTCAATGATTGACACAACTGTACTGGAGCATATTGTCATCATATTTCACGGATTATGCCTGTGGTTCTCAAATGTTTCCCACCAAGTAGCACCTCAAAAAATACTTGGCTTTACAAATACCACCATCGTGATCGGATGGTGTGTATATATATATA